AATTTATCCTTTTTTTTTTTTTTTTTAACTTTTTAACTACTCTACGATTTAAGGATGGCCAAGAGGCAGGTTTGAGGCGAGTTTGTCACCCTCTCTTTCACCGTCCTATATTACATCGAGTGTAATCGAGTGTAGGGCATATCTAGTTGATGGCCAAGGAGGATTAATTTTGAAACTTAAAAATAAGAAATCTTAATAAAAATATAAATAATATAGTATGTTATGGATAATAACTTATAATTAATGGAAATCAAAAGATGTAAACTTGAGTACAAATAAAAACTCAGTGTAATATTTTGGATTTTAATTTTATCATATTAAAAAAAATTAAATAATATATGTGAGTTAATGTCACTTTCTACCCCTGAATTATTGACAAAATTGTCTACTAAATTCTTAAACTATCGATTGAATTTTCTTAAAATATATAAATCAAAGTATTTTAGTCCCTGAACTATTGATTAATCTATTAAGTCCTTAAACTATTTAATTCAAACTTATTTAATCCCTAAAAATATTAAAAAATAAATATAAACCCATAAATATTCTAAATTAGTAAAAATCAATACTTAGTTAAGATTTTATTGTAGAAAAATCTTAAATTTGTGTTATGTCTTTAAAAAATATTTTGTTTTGTTCGTATTTAAACTAAAGAAATACAATCAGATAATTTAAATAATAATAATTCGCTATAAATAATAAAAGAACAAAATAAAACATTAAGTAAGTTATTAAAATATCTTAATAAAAAATTTAAAAATAATTAATTAAAAATTATAAATGAAATCCAACATATAATTTTAGATAAAGACAAGCAAATAACTATTGTAGGATGTAATCAATAAAATAATAGATAAATTACTAATATGTCTTAATAGTTAGAATTAATTCCCAACAAATCTTATTAAAAATAATTCTTAATAAAATTATTGCTAAAAATAATTTTTTTTCCCATGTTGCTAAAATTGACAATTAGCATTTTTTTGTCACGATTTTTATAATTTACCGCTAAAACTTACAATTAGTAACGTTTTTCTGTGATAAATTTTTTAAACTGTCGCTAAAAATTGTAAATTAGTAAAATTTTTTGTGATGATTTTTTTAAATTGTCGCTAAAACTTATAATTCATTTTATTTTTTTGTAACAATTTTCAAACTGTCATTGAAAATTAATAATCAATGACTTTTTTAATATGTTTGAATTAAATACTTTAGGAACTTAATAGATTTAATCGATAGTTCAGAAACTAAATGGATTTTAATTTATATATTTCAAAGACTTTAATAAACTTAATCAATAATGTAGGAATTAAGTAAATAATTTGATAACAATTCAAGAGTAGAAAGTGAAATAAACATTATATAAATATATTTAGTAAATATAAATGAGGTGGGGGTAGGTTAGAATGACACTTGAGCAGGACGAAGGAAAATAGCCATCCTTAGTTGAATTAGTTGTCTGTTTAATATAACATTTCTCATATTTATAATTACTCATCTTATTAATTGACAAAAAAATAAATAAACAAATAAGTATAGAAATAAAATTTAAATCAAACTATTGTCATTATCAATCAGCTTACTTGTTTTCATTTTTTAAAAAATATTTTTCAGAAAATTTTACTTTCTTATTTTTTGTATTTTTTTATTTTTACTGAATTGTTTTAATATTTGAAGCAATTTTTTACTTTTTAGACACACCTAACATAAATACACCTAAAAAGTAAAAAAATTATAAAAAAAAAATCTTTTAAAAATTCACTAAATACCAAAAATATAAAAAAATATAAGAATTTAGTATATTTTTTGTATTTTTATGTATTTATTAATTTTTAAAAATATTTTTTTACAAGTTTTTTACTTTTTAGATATATCTAAGTAAGGTGCATCTAAAAAAGTAAAAAAAAAATTAAAATTTTAAAAATATTCACTAATAACAAAAAAACACAAAAACTAAAAAATTTAATTTTCAAAAAACTTAATTAAGAAAACTCAAACCAAACACACTGAATGTAATTTACCCATTAATTGACAATATTTTTAATATAAATACCATTTTCACAACTGCCACTTGCCTTAGACAATCATCACTTCTATGATAGAAGAAACCTACTGACGTCAGCTTAATAATAACTGGAGAGGGATTTTTTATTTTATTTTATTTTTTTTGTGGGAGAGTGTTATCAGGCCTTTTAGACTCATTATGAAACTCGCATTATCTGTTTATGAGATTATTAGGACTGGTTTGGAGTGTCTTAAAAAAGTGTATTTTTTATCTTTTTAGATTAAAAAAAACAAAAAAAAAATATGGAGGTTTGTGTTAACTTTTTAACTTTTTATGGAAAAATGTGTATTAAAAAATTGTATAAAAAAAATGTGTAAGAGATGATAACAGAGGAGTGGGCCACAGCCGTACAACCGGCTGTACAACCGGCTGTGTAATTTGAGTTGAAAATTATTGGCTAATTTTTGTACAAAGCACTAGACGGTTTTGTTTGACCCATGGGGGTCATCACGGGTCCCATTTTAATAATCTGAACCGTTGAATGTGTGTAACTCGTCGAACACTATGTATCTATAAAAAATCACGTTAATCGGATATCGATAGCTATCTGATCAGATTTATTTATTTTTCAATCATTAATTATAACACCATCCATTTGTTGTATATAACTGATTTGATCATATAGTTATCGATATCCGATCAATGTGATTTTTTGCAGACATATAGTACTCGACGATTTCTACACATTGAACGGTTCATATTATCAAAACGGGACCCGTAATGACCCCCATGGGACGAACAACGGTGTGTGTGAAAATCACACCGAACCATTTCATTTTTGCTGCACAGCCGCTGCTTTACATCAATTCAAATTGTACTTTTTGGAAAGAAAATTGATTTTTTTAATTTTTTTTTGGTGAATAGTGATACTCCCTCCGTCCCAAAATATTGGTCCCTTTTGGGGAATCTAACTTTTTTTGGTAGTACACTTATTACATTTGAAAAAAGTTGATTTTTCAAAATTATCCTTTTGATAGTATATTTTTTGGGAATATCAATGTCATAATTGTACTTTTTAAATTGTTTATTAATTTAAAAGAAGGGCAAAATAGAAAATTTACATTATTTTTGTACTTGATTTATAAAGAGAGACTAATATTTTGGGACAATGAAAAATGGAATAAGGGACTAATATTTTGAGACGGAGGGAGTATCTTTTTGGATTTTGGAGTAACTTTTTGACTTTTTGACTTATATAGTATAAGCCAAACCAGGCCTTAATATTTGATTAATATAATTCTTTAAATAAATAAAATACTTGACGAATTCTATATATTAAATAGTTTAAAATATCGATACAAATTTCATAATGGATTTATGAAAGCCGAATAACATCCCCCAATTAAGACACTCAATTTGATAAAAGTCTCTCTTATAATAATGGGTTGTTTTGAGAAGATGATTAAAAATTAATTTTTTAATTTTTTTAACTCTTTTTGAAAAAATATGTAAAAAATATAAAAAATTATATGATTTAAAATGAGTTAAAAGCTAAATGATAACTGTTAACCATTGTTTTTAAAATAACCCAATATTATATGATCAATGTTTGGAAAGTGACGTGAGAGGCTATTTTAGCCCCATTCAAGAAAAAAGCCAACTAGCCTCAACAGTACTTAAATCAATTATTTATATTTAAAAAAAAAGAAAAGAAAAAGAAAAGAGCAGCAAGCAATCTACATATCACGTTAACAATGTAGGCTCAGTGGGCAGACAACCTAATCCCATGATAGGAAATGACAATTTTACCCTTTTAGACCAATTTTTGGAAAAAGTAAGGTTAGGGACAAATTTGTAATTTCAGCCTCACATCGTTTCAAACACATTTTCCAATACAATAACTCAAATAAAAATTCATCCTATCTTTCTAAACACAAAAACTAAAATAACCTACTAAAATAACAAAAAAATCTAAATAATAGCCACTTCCCAAACTCCCACATAAGTTGCTTGAAGACAAGAGCTGTCCCATTTAATAATTATCCCGTTGATGATCACACTAAACAAGCCGTACATCATCATCATCATCATCATCATCACATTACCCTTGTATTTGTACACCCGCAAGTACAATAACCCTTCTCAATATCAAGTTAGTGATAATTATGCCATCTCCAACCGTTCACCAAATCCAACATTAAATTCAAATTTGATGAAAAAAATATGCTTTTTGAGCTCCAACGGTTGCACCAAAACAGTATCAAACTGAGAAAACATCAAACGTTTCACCAAACTGAGGATGGCTTGCCCCTTTCAGCAATTCACTGCGCATAGTCGTTGAGTTGGACCCACCGGATGACCGGCCGGACGTTCGGCCGGATGTCCCATCGGATGATTGCTTTAATGCAAAAATTTGTGAAAATTTTACACTGGGGGGTCGACCACCAAGAGTAACATATGAAGCAGTTATGAGAGCTTGCTCATGGAGAAAAAACCCTTGTCTGGTCGACCGGCTGGTCGTCCTGCCGGACATCACTGCTTTTTGATGTAAGCTACAGTGCACCATTAGAACAACTCATATCAGATTAAGAAAATTGTCATTTTTTTACTCAGATTTGATGAAAAAAAATACTGAACCGTTGGAGATACTCTTAGGGTGCAACTTGGGTGCCCAAATTTTTTTAAGATTTGAATAAAATATTTTTGAATTGAGTATGAATTTGAACAAAAATTTAAAAGTTTAAATTAAATTTGGGAGAATTTAAACAAAAATATCAAACAATCCAAACAATTTGAAGCTTGAATTATATATATATATAAAGTATTAAATATACACATAAATTAGGACACTTGATCCATAAATTCAAATTTCAATTTTGTTTGGCCAAAATCCATGCGCCAAAATATTTTGTCCAAAATAATAAGTTTAAGCAAAATGACCAAAACCCCCTTATATATATATATATATACCATATACACGGCTCATCTCACACCGGCACACACACTCTCTCTCTTCTTTTCCAAACCCTAATCCTCTCTATCTCTCTTCAAACTCTCCCTCTTTTTCTCTGTGCTCCTCCATCGATGCTCTTCCTTCCTCCTCAGATTGAGTTCGTCTCAATTTAAATCCCAATTATTGACCGACAACAAGCTCACCACCGCCCACGAGTTCAAGATTTGTTCACTTCAACCCGCAATTTCACTAATCCAAAGATAGATCGCATTCCCAAAAACAATATTTCTTTGTTTGATTTCACTAATTTTAACACTTTTTTTATTTTTTTATTTTTTTTTATAGTTTTAACGGCATCATCAAATCTAGGATTCATGATCAGATCCGGTAGTCGCACCTACTACTAGAAATATGACTTCTTGCGTCTATTTTTTTGTGACTGATTATTTAATCGTCTCAAAAAATCACTTTTTACATTGAAAACATCACAAAAGCATTTAACCCAATCGTGTTCTTGACTTAAAAAAAAATCATGTAGAACTTGACCTATCTCCCCTTTCACTCTTATTTCCCAAATCTGTCTCCAACGGTGGTGTATGAGCTCTCTCTCTCACTCTCTCTCAAAATCTCTCTCTCGCTCGACACTCTTTGCGCTTGAATCTCACTGTCCACTTTCCACTCTCTCTCGCTCGACTTTCGCGTGATGAAGATTTGAAGATTTTGATTGATTGTTGATGAAGATTTGAATATTTCGATCTATTGTTGATGAAGTTTTCGATCGATTCATAATCGGTAAGCTACTTTCTATGTATGGATCCAACTCTCTATCTCTCTCTGTAACCTAGCTTGTTTGTTTCATGCCTAGTTGCTAAATTTTTGTGTTGATTTATTCTGAATTTCTGTGTTGATTTCGATCGTTCTTTAATCTGTGTTGTTGATTTATTAGGTGATTCATCTTGTTTTTGCTAATTTAAAGTTATACAGATAGATAGAGACATGATTTCGATGATTGATTTTGTTTTTTCAAATTTGTTAGCTTATTTTTGGTGTTTTACCAGGTTCTATGAATGAATATTAATCATAGAATATTAATCAAACATTGATGAATGAATATTCTTAAATTAACAGCCACATAGTAGAATCTTGCATGAATAATCAACAAAAATCAATTTTGGAGTGCTTACCCAACAATATAGCAACTTGCACCTCATATATCTCAACAAACAACCAACAACTTTGTCCATGGTTTTTCCTGCATATTTCAAGTAAACCAACATCCTCACTAATTTCATAAAGCAATCAAGTAGCTAAAAATAAAAAATTTGCAAACCATGATGGACATTATAAATTATAACGAACAACAATTACAATAAGTTTACTCCAGGAATTTTATAACCTCAAAAAGTTTACATGGTCAATTCAAAAGGAACTCCATTGGAAACATTACAAATAACAATCTAAACAATTACATCTCTTTTTCCTTTTTATTGGTACTAAAATAGTCAAAGAAGATAGTGAGTGAAATTAACCAAAATAAACAGAAGTAGAAAAACAATATGTAGTTTGAGTGGGGAATTTATGCAAACATGTGTGAAGCATTGTAAAAAAACACAACCAAAATACCAAAATACAAGATTAATAAACTTTATTTGATATTTTGAATCCATGAATCAAGATCGTCATATCATAAAAAAAAAATCAAAATTCCAATCATTCGTCAATGGAGGTGGATGGGTTGATTTATGTAAATGGAACAAAAAAACCTTAGAGGCCTAAATTGGGGGAAGAGAGATAGAGATAGAGATACACACACAGAGTGAAAAATATAAAGGACATACCTAGGGGTAGTGCACCAATGGTGGATCGTGCTGCGAGATAAGAAAAGAATGGTTGCTGGTTTGCGATGCTGATATCAATGGCGGTAGTCGTCGTTGAGGCAATGGTGATTGGCGCTGGCCACGTGATGATGTGCGACTGGAAGATTGACGGACACTATGCGGTCCTGTGCGGCATTAAGATAAGCGACGATAGTGACTCGGTGAGAGAGAGCAAAGAGACAGAGAGGGAACTTGTTTGTGAAGAAAAAAAAATGATAGAGAAAGATACAAAATAAGGGCACATATTTGTAATTTTGGGAATATTATTTTATATAAAAATTAAATAGAAAAATATATACAATCACACGTAAATTAGAAGGTGTGATTAAAAAATATACATATATTTACACTTAATTGAAAAGTCACTACAACAAAATACATCTTTGGCGACTAAAATTGGTGACTAAAATAAATTTAGTCGCCAAAAGTGTTAGAATTGGCAACTAAAACTTTTTTTGGTCGCCAAAAGTATAAATTTTAGCTACTAAATTTTTTTAGTCGGAATATATTGATTATTGGCGACTAAAAAATAATTTAGTTGCTAAAAATACTAGAATTGGCGACAAAAAAAAATTTAGTTGCCGTATATTGAGTTTTGGCTACTAAAATATTTAGTCGCCGAATGTAAAATTAATAATTTATTTTTTATCTTTTGGCGACCAAAAGTTTAGTCGCCAAAACATATTTTCAGCGACCAAAAATTAGTTTAGTCGCCAAAAAATAAAAAATTGGAGGGAGACATTTCTAATTTAAATTTGAGGGATTTATAAAAGTAATTGGCGACAAAAGATTTTTGTCGCCAATGGTGTAACATATAAGTAATTGGCGACCATTACGTATTTTAGTCGTCAATTGTATAAAATAATATATATATATTTTGTACCAAACCCTAAAATAATCTGCGCCTCTCTCTCTATTCGGCGTCCCTCTCCCTCTCCCTTCCGGTCTCCGCTACTCCTCTCCCCTCCCTCTCTCACTGCCGCTCTTCTTCGCCTTCGACGGAAACCAGAGCACCTCCTTCTCACGCTGTCGCCTCCTCCTCCTCCTCCGCCGATCTTCACAAATCCACCGCTGTGAGATCCAAAGGCTTCATCGCTGAGATGAACTCTGCTCCATTGATGCTCCGTCTCGCGTATGCTTTCTCTCTCTCTCTCTCTCTCTCTCAAAATATTTAGAGGTTTCTTGTGGGGATCTTAAAGATCTGATTGGTCCTTTTGATTTTCACTATTGATCTTAAAAATCAATACATACATACTATATACACACATCAATCTTTATCATCGTGGTAGCTTTCGATTTATTCCCTTTCAATTTGATGCATTTGATTATCTTTATCCACTTAATTTTTTTTTTATTGGTTTTTTATTTTCGAAAAGATTGTCACAGTTTGTCATAAGAAAATTGCATTTTTCTTTTAAGTTGTTTTTTTGTAGATGCTTTGCTCTGGTATAAATTGTCAAGTTTGCATCTTTCTCCGGTGATGTTCCAATCTCTATAAATCTTATCATGTTATGTTTCAGTTTGGATAAATGTTATCATATACTGTAAATTTCTAATTCGTTCTCCTATTTATTTATTTTTTGTAGGGGCTATGTCGGAATTCACAGCTCCGAATTCAGAGATTTTCTTTTGAAGCCAGAGCTTCTGCGGGCTATTGTGGACTCTGGATTTGAGCATCCATCTGAAAAGGCAAGATATTTATTCATATAGTCATTCAAATTCATAAATAGATTTTTTATGTCTTAGAATAACTATTAATTTTGTTTTTCTTTCATTCTTTCAGTTTCGGTCATAATGTTATGTTCATCCATCTGTTGATGCCTAGCTGTCTTCTTAGGCTTTTGTAGAATTTAGATTAAAGAAAGATGAGCATCTGTAATTGAAACGCATAAGCTTTGTACTATCTGGTTGTGGTTGTCGTGGATCTCCTATTACTTAGATAGATAATGATTATTATTGTTGTTAAGTTTTAGATATTATGGCTTTTTTTTAAATAGATAGTGATTATTATTGTTGTTATTTGCTGGTATTGAATATGTTGACACATTATACTTAATATTGCCTTAAAATCATGGTCTGGGTAGCTGCCTATTTTTTTTTTCTCCTTTCTTTCATCTTCCAATATTTATTTTTTATTTTTTGACGATTAGCTTCTTGGATGTCATATGTCAAGCGAAATCTGGGATGGGGAAAACTGCTGTTTTTGTTCTGTCAACATTGCAGCAAATTGAGCCTGTTGCAGGTCAAGTTGCTGCCCTTGTTCTATGTCATACAAGGGAATTAGCTTACTAGGCATGTATCTAAATCGTAGGGCTTAAACCCTCATCTATTACTCTCTCTTCCTTAAACAACTCACACAGACATATATGTATGCATAGACAATCCAATTTCTATCTTATTAGTTTTCTTTCTTTTTGGTGTTTATCATTACTGCAGATCTGCCATGAGTTTGAGAGCTTCAGCACTTATTTGCCAGATATCAAGGTTGCTGTTTTCTATGGCGGTGTCAATATCAAAATTCACAAGGACCTACTGAAGAATGAATGCCCTCACATTGATGTTGGAACACTTGGAAGAATACTGGCACTTGCTAGAGAAAAGGATCTTTCTCTGAGGAATGTGAGGCATTTTATCTTTCTCTAGTAACTACCATTTTTATTGAAACAAGTGTGAATCTTTTTTGTTCACTTGTTGAATTTAGGAGTTGTGTGGCTCATTACTCCATACTTGTTATTGTAACCTGGATTCTATTTGTTGTTGATGTAACTCGGTTGTTATGTTCATGTATTATGCATTTGTTGTGTTAGGTTTATGAATTTCTCTGTAAATTGTAGATCATCATCTTTATTTTGATGTATTTGCTCCATTTATGTAAATTGTTGTGCATTCTTTATTTTATACTTTGGTATAACTTTACTTTGTTTGCTATCATATCTGATTGAAGCCTGACTATCAGAATCATTGTTTCTCTCCAGAATATCGTTGAATATCTAGAAAAATGTAGAGCTTTCTTCCAATGCTTAATAATGAACTCCCTCATCAGAGGAATTCAACTCGCAAGCAACAGTTCAGTAAGTTGAGGAACCTGATGCTTACGTAATGATCAGGCAAATCATTTGATTAGCTCATGTTTTGCTTCAGAAATTCATCTACTTCTGCTTCTTGCTTTCCATGTCTTGGAGATTTTGTTAAATTACTAACCTGAACCACTTTAGGCCAATTCAGATTACAAAGAGGCATTGCTGTCAGGTAGTTTGACGAAAACAGAGCTTTGAGTGTCAGACTAGAATCTTTGTTGTCCTGTGTAACTATCCTGACATTCAAATCTCTACCAGAAGTGTTTGTTTTGAGCAGAGCTATAAGCCAGCCAACAGCAACTGTGCAATCAGCAAAAGCTCCTACTTGCTACCCAAAGCCTTAATTTGAGCATTGCACTAGCACATCAGTGTGCAGACAAAGCTTTTGCATTGAGGATTGGATTGGCTTGAAGACCTTGGACAGAGCTGGGAGAGTCAAGTACATCAGTGTGTCCGGAAATCATATCAAAATGTCCAAAAATGATATGATAAAGTATATTGTCCCTTACTTGAAGAAGGGGTTTGGGCGTCTAAAGAGGGTCGACGAAGTTCATAAGTTAAGTAAACAAAGGTTGTTGGGGAGAGAGGGATAATCCTACAGTAATGCAAAGCCACACAAAAGCACAAAATTTAACATCCGTCACACATCAGCTGAATTTATAATTGAAGGATGAGTTTTAGTCAATGAGTTTTTTTGAGAGCAGCCTGATTAGATATTAATTTTGTTTAATCCTCTGTTATGTATGGAATTATATTTTTGAGATTGGATTATACTTGATTTGTATAGAATTTTTTTTGGAAATATTAATTTGATGTTAAATATGATTTTTTTTTTTTTTTTATGGTTGAAAGTGAAATGTGTGTGTATTGTGAAATGGTTGCTAATTTTATCAGTATATAGATAATTTTATTTATAAAATGGAAAAAAACTTTTGGCTACTAAATATTTGGTAGCTAAAAATAAAAATAAAATGGAAAAAAACTTTTGGCTACTAAATATTTAGTAGCAAAAATAAAAGCAGACTTTAGGCGACTAAGAATTTAGTAGCTAAAAAAAATAAAATGAAAAAAATAAAAAAATAAAAAGATGAAAAAACCCTTTGGCGACTAAAACTTTGGTCGCCATAGGTACTTCAAGTTTTGGCGACCAAAGTTTTAGTAGCAGAAAATAAGATTTTTGGTGACTAAAATTTTATTTTAGGCGACTAAAAACGTTAGTTGCCATTTATAGGACTTTTGGCGACTAAATATTTACCTTCCCCGACAAGTGTTCCGCAACCAGTTTAGCGACCAAAATATTTAGTCGAGCAAAGAATTTGGCGACTAAAAAATGCACTTTTGGCGACTAAAAAATTAGTCCCCAAATGTGCATTTTGTTGTAGTGAGTGACATAAAAAATAAATATTATTACACTCAATCAAATCAAGTGTGATTAAAATATGAATATAATTTTTTTTATTACACCTCTAATAAAAGTAAGATATTTTTATTTATCAAAAAATGATCTTTAATTATTTTTTGCAGTAGTGGTTTTTTTTAACGCCGTCGTTTTGGATCCGCGGCCAATATCTCCCTACTTCCTCCATCATTGTCATCCTCATCCTCATCATAAAGTGGCTCATTTTCCTCCTCCTCTTCCTCTGGCTAAAGTTCATTATCGTCGTTGTAATCGTCTTATCACTGGTGATACATGGTGGTGAAATTTCTCTGATATGGATAGTCTGCTTTACGTTACAAAAGTTATCGATATAGATGGATATATATATATATAGATATATTTATATATTTGAGGTAGTTACAACGTTGTACTGAGAATAGTGTTGTTTGCCAACGTATTTGTATAGTATAATTTCATTTTGGGTTTGCTTTTTACATCGCAATATGAAGGTTTGTAGGGATTACTCTGCTTTATTCAAATCGTTTATTTTATAAATTACTATATATTATTTATCAAAAAAGTTTTGAAATTGTTCAACTCTTCTGAGTATTTGATAGAGTTTTCATTTTTTTTTTCCTTCAAAAAGAAGAGTGGTTGGTTTCAGTTTTTTTAAAACTAAATTTTTTGTTTTGCTTATTTTTTTGTTTTTAGTGAATATTTTTAAAATTTTAAGCATTTTTTTTACTTTTTTAGATTCACCTTACTTAGATGTATCTAAAAAATAAAATATTTTAAAAAATTAATAAATATACAAAAATACGAAAAATATACTAAATTTTCATATTTTTTAAAAATATTTTTGGTATTTAGTGAATCTTTTAAAGATTTTTTTTTTCACAAAAATTATACTTTTTAAGTGTATTTATGTTTGGTGTGTCTAAAAATTAAAAAAAAAAATTGCTTAAAATATTAAAAAAAATCAGTAAAAACAAAAAAATATGAAAAATAAGAAAGTAAAATCTTTTAAAAAGTATTTTCAAAAAACTGAAAACAAACATGGTGATGGATTTTTTTTGTATGAATGGATGTTGTTAGGTTGGTTGATTTGGAGGCAGTTGAAATGGTTTTGTGTTGGTATTCTTTTGTATTTGGTTTAGTTGGAAGCTGCCAATGTAGTATTTTCAGACTCAATTTATTTATTTTTTGACATCTAATGTTTAAAAGGATTTGCAGAATTTGAAACAAGGCATTAGAACAAATAGGGTTTGAACTAGGGTTCGAGATATATGTCTAGAAAAGGGAAAATAGAACAAATAGAAAAAATGGAAAATTAGTGTAAGGTCCCTGTCCCATTTTTAGTAATGGAAGAGATCCACAATATTATTTTTTGATGTCTAAAGTCCCTAAACTCCACACCTATCTATCACAGAGAAATTTGATATATCACGCTGCTCTTCTCTCTCTCTCTCGTTGATCTCAAAAGACAAGATCACTCTTGCAGAACTCTTTGAGATTGATGAAGCCGTTGAGGTCGGTGTTGAGCTCCTCCATCATCCGCTTCACTTCGTCCTTCGATGTATTGGATTGGAGAGCTTTCATGACTGATACGAGCTCTGCCATCGAGATCTTGCCGTCACCGTTGGTGTCGAACTCCTTTCAATCCCATAAAAGAGGTATCCCGAGATGCAACAGAGAGTAAAGAAAGTACAACAACATTTCTCTAGCATGCTAGGCCTATGAAGTATGATATATTTCTGCTCGATATGGTACAATCGAGTTTTCGAATAAGACCCAGATGACAAATGTTGCCTTTGATTACAAAAAGATTACAGGTAAACTTGTTTTTCTCTTGAATTAGATTAAGTGCCCTGTTGTAGGGACTGAGGATATGAAAACATTACAAGAGAACATAAATTCATTGTTGGAAAGCAATTTGTTTTTATGCTTTTGATTGGGATTCTTGTAGTTCTTGAGGTGTCATTATTTGTTGCTGTACATAAATTTATAGAAAAATAAATTATTCTTTGATGTGAAGATCTCTCTTTCTCTAGACATCTCTTGACAGCCATTTTGGTAAGTACTATATAAATGCAGACATCTCTTGATATGTTGTGATGTTATGAGCTTGGGGGTTAAAGAACAATAATCTGAAACTCTAGCTCAAAACTAGTACTACTACACTGTTACTACCAAGAGATCATGGTGCTTTATTATGAAACAATGATCTGTTACATCAAACCTCATATGGGTGGTTATTAATCTATAGTCCCAGTAGCTTTACATCAGTTGTTTTAATAATGGTTCCAGTAGCCACCTTTCTGCAAAAAACATGTAATTTTCATGGCTACCAACGCCTCTCCAACTTTTGTGATAAGGAGGGGTAAGATGATTACTGTAATTGAATATATGTACATATATGGTTACATATATGTTTGTACATATGTCAACTTGTGCATGTATCGTTGAACTCAATATGTGGGAAGACTAGTGATGTGCCATACCTTAAAACACAATTTTGAATCAATAGAAAGATTTTATTCTTAATGTGATTTGTTTATCTATTTCTTAATTTTTGTATTGTGAGTTTGATTTGATTTCTTGGAAGACTAGTGATGTGCCATACCTTAAAAAAATTATCTAGCTTTGATTTTTATTGCGAGTTTGATTTGATTTCTTGGAAAAAAAAATTCCACCTTTCTGTTGGTTGATGTCCTGTTTGGTTTCTATCAAAATTGAGAGAGCCATTCATGAATCAGCAAGTTAGTCTTTGAGATTTTGTATCAATTGACAATTTTCTTGCCTGTTGTTGGTTATATATTTATTATGTTTTTGGATAAATGGTAGTTGTTCAATTTTCTCTAGTTTGTTGTTGTTTAATTTTTTCTAATTTGCTGTTGTATGAATGTCTTATAATCCAAAAAAAATTGGTCAAAATGGTGGTTGTTCAATTTTCTCTGGTTTGTTGTTGTATAAATGTCTTACAGTCCAAAGAAAATTGGTCAAAATGGTGTTTGTTCAATTTTCTTTGGTTTGTTGTTGTTCAATTTTCTCTGGTTTCCTGTTGTATGAATGTCATACAGGCCAGAGAAAATTGGTCAAAATAGTGGTTGTTCAATTTTCTCTAGTTTGTTGTTCAATTTTCTCTGATTTTTTGTTGTTCAATTTTCTCCAGTTTGTTATTGTATGAATGCCTTACAGTCCAGAGAAAATTGGTCAAAATGGTGGTTGTTCAATTTTCTCTGGTTGGTTGTTGAGTGAATGTCTTACAGTCCAGAAAAAATTAAACAACAAAAAACCAGAGAAAATTGGAAAAGAGCCATACAAATTTTCTCTGGATAGAGCCATACAAAATTTTTATAACACAATTTTCTCTTAATAGAGTCATATAAAGCCACACAAATTTTTTTTACACAATTTTCTCTAGATAGAGCCACACAAAGCCACACAAATTTTTTTTCTAACATAGAGCCACACAAAGCCACACAAATTTTCTCCACACAAATTTCTCTGGATTTCTTCGGTACTCAAAGAAATTTCAATTTTCTCTAGTTTGAAAGATAATGAATGAAGTTGGAAGAGACAAGAGAACTAAAATTTTCTCTATATCAATTGTAACCTTACTTCTTGATTAATAGGTTCGTTCTCTTTTGTTTTGTTATCTTTTAATACTTTCCCGGTTTGGAAGAGATGGACATTTGCCGTGTAATAGAATTTGTATCTGATGCAGAAAATTTGTCCAGAGAAATTCTGTGAACCAAAATTTCTCTGTGAAGTCTAGAGAAAATTCGACCAGAGAAATTCTCTTTGAATTCCAAAGAAATTCTCCGAATTGATGTTGAGAGACCCTGAGTATTTGGGACAAAGACTCATTGAGTTGAGTGAAGTTTTCTTGGTTTTGAGCAGTTCAGGATTTATATGTTTTTCACTTGTGACATTATACTAATAGTTGGTAAAAAAATTGACGAGTCTTGGAAAACTATCACTCAAATATGATGTTGAATTATAGGAAAGTGAAAGTGAAAAAGACATTCTTGATGAAGGTGATGAGGAGGCAGATAAAGAGCATGATCAAGAACCAGAGGTCTCAGTACAACCTGAACCTGTGGTGAATAAGGCCCCTGAAGTTTTTTCAGCACCTAAAGAGGCAACCAGAGAAAATTGCAGTTTTCTTTTCTCTTCCAACTTCATTCTTCATCTTTCTCAAATTCTCTGGTTTTCTTATAATTATTGTTTCTCTTTTGCTTCTGAATAACAATGAAGCCTTGTGAATGCACTCTACAATAAATTATAGATTTATAGTCCAGAGAAATTCTCAATAATAATGAAGCCTTGTGAACCAGAATTTCTTTGTGAAGTCCAGAGAAAATTCGACCAGAGAAATTCTCTGTGACCAGAGAAATTCGCTGTGAACCAGAATTTCTCTGTGAAGTCCAGAGAAAATTCGACCAGAGAAATTCTCTGTGAAGTCCAGAGAAAATTCGTCCAGAGAAATTCTCTAGATCGAATTTTCTCTGGATTAATGTTAAGGGACCTTAGACATTATGAAAATATTGAGTGTCTTTTATGCTATAAAATCTTAATACCAGGGACCTTAAAAAAAAATTCCCTAAAAAAAATATGTTTATTGAATTTTAATAGATAAAAAACGTAGAGACAAAAAATTCGACAAATAAAATTTGAATAGATAAAAATTGAACAGATAGGGAAAAAAATTGAACAGATAGGTTTAAAATTAAATAGATAGAAAAAAAATCAACAAACCAATTAAGAGGTAAAATTAAAACAACATGTCCTTCAAACAATTAAAAATACTTCTCTCCAAATTATTTCACAAAAGATGAACTTCTCATCAATAAAAAATATTCACTAGACCTAATGCCTTACACTCTCCTTAACTTGAACTTTTCAATAATTGTCCCTATAAATTATTAGTTACGAGATAATGTTAAAGTAATTTAGATCATTAGATCATATTGAATATGCATTATATACATAATTAATACAATACAAAATTTTATTTATTTATTTTTTCTCACTCATAAATTGTAATTAAAAACCATCATAGCAGTATAATATATATAAATTATTTGTTTTGATAGTATTAATAATTTTTTAAAAAAATTGTAACTAGAGTATAATTTTAACAAATTAATTAACTTAGCTAAACTAAAAAAAGAAAAAAGAAAAGATTGAAATTTATGTGCAATTCGGGCAACTTGGGTTGGATTTTGGCAAACAATCTCGGGTTAGAATTTGAGCTTGGGCGGGTCTGGTTAGCTCTTAGTACAACTTGAGTTGGGTTTGGATAATCTTTAAACTTGTCTGAACTCACCCGAGTTGCACCTAGTGATAATACTTAATTATGCCCTAAATTACAAATATAATACAAATCATTATGTTTTGGTTTTGACCTTTAAAAATAATTTTTGAGTTTTTAATTTGTATTTTGTTGATATATTTTTTAAAATTTTTAGATTTTCAAAAAAAAATAATATAAAAAAATAAAAAAAAAAATTAATTTTTTAATTACATTTTGCTGTATTCAATTATTTTTTTAATAAAATTTTGTATAATTTTATACTTTCTAAGTGTATATAAATGAATCTAAAAACCAAAAAACTTAACTAAAATAATAGAAATTTTATTGAAAATAAAAAAACACAAATTAAAAACTCACAAAACTATTTTTAGAATTTTTAAAAAATAATTTTATGAGTGTTTAATCTGTATTTTTAGTAATTTTTTAAAATTTTAATAAATTTTTTGTTTTATTTTTTAGATATGATTAAAATTTTTAAAAAATCAATAAATACAAAAACATATATTAAATTTTTGTACTTTTTGTATTTCATGAATTTTTATTTTTTTTTACAAAATTAATTTTTTCTAAATTAATTAAAAATAAAAAGATAAATAAAAATACTAACAAATACGAATTTAAATTTTAAAAAATTCAGAATCAAATACAATAATGATGATTGTTTGGGGTGTGTTTGGTAACGTTTACGTTTTCAGTTTATATTTACAAAAATTTTATAAACTGGTTTTTTTTTTTTTTTTAGAAAAATATAAACTGCAAACGCGTTTGGTAATTGACAAAATGTTTAAAATTTTTTAAAAATATAAAAAGAGTGAGAGATAATAAGTGGTGGCAAGTGGCGACGGAAGACAATGGTGGAAAGTGATGACGGTGGGTGGTGGGTAGCTGGTGGTGGCGGGTGGGTGGTGGCGGTGGTGGTGGATGGGTGGGTGATGGTGGCGGGTGGTAGCGAGTGGGTGGTGCTGGTGGTGGTGGCGGGTGACAGGTGGGTGGTGGATGGCGGGTGGTGGTAGCGGGTAGGTAGCGGGTGGTGGTGGGTCGGGCGTTGGGCTGGATGACGGTGGTGGTGCAGGAGTCGGTGGGTTGATGGTGGCGGCACGGTGGGTGGCGGTGTGGGTCGGCGGAATGGTGGTGGTGGTGGGTGGATGGGTGGTGGGTGGTCGGATGGTAGGAGTGGTGGGTGACGGTCGGGCGTGATGAGGTCGGTGGTGGGCACGGGGGGTGGTGGGTGGTGTGCAGGCGTGACGGGTGATGGTGGGTGGTGGTGAGTGGCTGCGTGGTGGTGGGTGACGGTGGGCATGCACGGTTGCGCAGGTGGCAGGTGGTAGCGGTGGGTGGTGGTGGTAGTAGTGGTGGGCTGTGGTAGGTGGATGGCGGTGTGGGTGGCAGTGTGTGGTGAGTGGTGGTGGTAAGTAGGTGGCGGGTGGTGGTAGTGGGCGTGGATGGTAGTTGGCGGGTGGTGGGTTGTAGCGGGTGGATGACAGGTGGGTTGGTGGTGGTGGCGAGTGGGTGGCAGGTAGGTGGTGATCGGTAGGTGGGCTGGTGAGTGGTGGTGGCAGGCTTGGTTCGGTGAGGGTGGGCTGGTGGTGGCGGAAGAACCGTGGCTGGAAAATTGTGGTCGGGTTGATTGGCTAGTGTTGGGTGGTAAAAAAAAAAAAACTGAAAACTCAAAATAAAAACACATTTTTTATATTTTCATTTTTTGGCTAAATTTATAAACTGAGACCGTTGATTTATAAATAAAAAATTTTACCAAATAAATTTTTATTTAAATTTTTAAATTTTTTATAAATATAAATAGAAAATAAAAAACGTTTGATATATGTGAATAATGATTAAAATCAACAATAAAAATCATATAAAAAAGTCTTGAAGAGATTGCTTATAATATCTTCCATGTTAGGGGCCCAGGAAACCCAATTGATAAAGCAATCCTAAAACAAAAACAAATCTTCATAAAACTGGGCCCCCACCTATTCCCCTAGCTTATCTCATCTGCCAAACCCACCTAACTCCGAACCTCCCTTCACTGGCTTTCTTCTCCACGTGGCCTCGATTGGTTGCTGCGGAGTTTGGCTTCTCATCACCCATTGTGACTTTTAAAAAATATTTATTTGTAAGAAGATGATTAATTTTTTTTAAGAAGATGATTAATTTTTTTTAAAAAATTAGATATAATATTTATAAAAGAAAAATAAATAATTATGAATTTAATATGATATTTTATTTTATTAAAAGTAAATTATAAATATATTTTTTGATATTTGTTTAAAATATAGATTATTTCTGTAGTTTAAAAGTTTATAAATACTTATTTATTAATATTTTTTATTTAACAGAATTAACTAAATTATTAATTAATTTATTAATAAAAGGGACGATTTGTTATAATATTAGAAATCTTAAGGGATAGAATATAATTTCTAAAATTACAAGAAATGATACATATTTTAATCAAATTTCAGAGATATATTTATAATTAACCTTTTATTAATTATTTTAATTATAATTAACCTTTTATTCCTTTTATTAATTATTTTAACTTATCTTATCTTTGTAAAAAAAATAAAAAATAAATAGCCTTTGCCAAACTGTGTGCTCCTTTTTTTTCTACCACTCTCTCTCTCTCTCTCTCTCGGTGGACCTTAACAGATACTTGTTCTCAGTTCTCAGAATCGAATCGAAGAACTGTTCAGATGATCGTAATTTTAGGTTCGATTCCTCTATTTACATGTGTATCAGTTGCATGTGAATATATATATATATATATATACGTGTTTCAAAGTGTTCTGTTTGTTTGTTGATTATTGATTTTGATGTTCTGTTGATTCCCTGTTTCATTTACTCAAATCAATGATTGTTATTTTCTGTTTGGTTCTCAAGAGAAAGAGGGAAATTTGAGGAATTGATCATTTGAACATCAAAATGTTGCTCAATATTTGTAAGTGAGAGGATCAGACTATATATATATATATATATTTGGTTTTCTTGACACGTTGCTGTGTTTTTCTCAGCAACCAAACACGCAGGGTTTTCAATACATGAGACTGAGTGTGATTCAAAGTCGATATTCTTCTTAGATCATATCATAGTATTTTTCTGTTTTACATGAGTCTATTTTACTGCTATCTTTTTGAGGTGGTGTTTAGGTTATGTGCCTATTGTACATAATAATATATATACACGCAAGTTTTTATTTATATTTGTTAACCCCTTGATTGGGTAATTCTGCCTATCTTAGAGGCAAAGATGGATCTAGGAGGTGCGGGCAGGCTTGACCTCACCTCAAAAAATTTGGAAAATATTAAATATTATATTGGAAAATTTAAAATAATTTAAAATTATAAGGCCTATTCAGAGGTGATCAATTTTGGATGCCGTTATGGATTTTTTTTAGTTGTTTGTTTCTTTCCCTTTATGGAGGTGCTTCTTTTATTATCTAGGAGTTGTTGGTGTTTTGAAGGTTTATATTGTTGGACTCTTTTCATGGTGGATTGTTCAGTTTGATGTATTTTTCTTGATGTTTGTAAAAAATATAATATTCTCCTACCAATTGACCAAAAATAAAAAAATAAAAAAAAATAAAAAAAATTGATGTGATTGTCGATCGAGTCACTTGCGGTAGCAATTGGGGTTGCTATATGTCATTCTCTATCTCTACTTCATTTGTTTATTTTTCCCTGGTTGTTGTTGTTAGATAAAAGAAGTATCATAGTTAATTTTTGGGGTTGTTACATTGAAAATATGCATTTAGCTACATTATAATTTATGTGAAATTCTTCAATGCTTCTCAATTCTCATTGTAACTTAACGAATTGACTTTCCTTTGTGATTAAGTCCAGCTTAGTGGCAAGGAGTTGCCAAACATACTACTCAAAGGGTTTCCACTGGATACCTTTTATGCTGATGGTAGAAAAAAATATGTATTGACAATCTTCACCTCAATGGCAGGGACTTATGAGCGACGTGCTTTAAGCGTTTTATAGGCTTTACATATGCTAAATTTGGATGCCCATATTGATGACGCCATTATAAGTTACATGCAATCAATGCATATCTAACCACTATAGCTACAATGACTAATTTTTTGTGTCTTAAAGTGTTGGTGTGTATGTTCCCATCACAAAACAGATATCAAAGTTTAATGGTTCTATTTCTCTATCCGTTTTTAAAAGTTGATTGGTTGGGACTTTTAAGTACATGTGCCGCATTGAAATATACATGATATAAATGCCATTTGTGTACATCGTTATTCTACGGATGCAGGAACACACACAAGTATTACGGATATGCAATTTTAAGTGTTGTTAGGGCGCTTCTGGTATTGTTTTTATTTGCATTGCAGTGCTAAAATTATGTGTGCCAAGTGCATCCAGACATGCTTCTTGTTGGATGTTAAATGCACCACATTGTTGTTAGGGATCAGGCGATATGGTGTAAAAATACACTTTTATGTTTAATCTTTTTAGAAAATAATTTCAAATGGGAAACTGAAAAAGAGTGTTTGGAATGTTCATGGATGTTGATGAAGTGTGTTGAGGTTGTACTATACACTTGGATGACTCTCCTCTTTGAATTTGGGCATCTCTTCGGATATTTGCTTATCCCTCTGCCGCGAGCACTCGGATTTACATTTTTCTGATTGCGAACATGTTTTATAAGCTATCTGTGCATTTTGCTTTTTTAGTTGATCAATTGTTGTTCTTAGTTTGCCCTCTCTCTCTCTCTCTCTCTTGGTTTTACAGACTGAAGTGAAGTGTCCCAATCTTCGGTGGTCCTACCCTATCATTACTCGATGGGTGGAGTTTGTTCTAGGAAGCGAGACCCACAGGTCAATGAAGACAATCTTACTAGAGGAGTTTCTGGAAGATATTCCAAAAGTAGGAGTTCTAAGTGGTTGGGAAACTCCTTTTCTCGACCTGCTGTAGATAATAAGCAGGGAAAAATACCACGCCCATCTTTAATGGAACTATGCATTTACAAGATATGCAAGGTATGTCTTGCTTGTGTGAGGTCGCAGGATAATGTATTATTGTAGAAGATGCTTAATTTGCAGCTAATGGCTGTATCAATAGCCCCATATATTGTATATGTGGCGCTAAATGTGAGATATGGGGATGCGGATGAGGATGCGGCCATAATAGTTGTAAATGTTTCCCTCCTTTGTAATTCCGGATTGATTTTTTTTGTCTTTGTTGTGTGATAGGATATTGATAAACATACTACCTTTTCCATGCTGCCAAGGGATATTAGTCAGCAGATCTTCAATGAATTAGTGTACTCACAATGTCTGACTGAGGTTTCTCTTCAAGCTTTTCGAGATTGTGCCCTCCAGGTAAACTCCAGTAATGATTGCAAGTTATTATAAGTATAAGTTCATTCTTCTCTTCATTTATTCTATCTGTATTAGTGGTTGAAGTGGACTTTAAGGGGTATCTATCTTTTAATTGGCAGGACCTTGAGTTGGGAGAATACCCAGGATTGAAGGACAGTTGGATGGATGTCATTTCTTCACAGGGATCATCTTTACTTTCTGTGGATTTTTCTGGTTCTGATGTTACAGACTCTGGGTTGATTCCTCTCAAAAGCTGCACAAATCTCCAGGCATTGAATTTTAATTACTGTGACCAGATTTCAGACCATGGGTTAGCGCACATCAGAGGTATTCCCAATTCCCCCTCCCCTCTACTGCAGCATTTGCGTTTTAGAATTTTGCTATGCTTAAGAAAAATGTGTGTGCACGCTCGTGTGTGTGTGTGTGTGTGTGTGTGTGTGTGAGAGAGAGAGAGAGAGAGAGAGAGAGTGGACTTTATTGAATATGGACACAAGCGAAAGGGAACAAGTTCTCTTGATATGACAGCAAAAATGTAGATGGTCAAAGAAAAAGGGGGCCATAATATAATTAAATCATTGACTGATGACACTTCAATTATTCCCCACCCACCAACCTAGATGCAGTCAGTGCATCTCAAGGTTTGTTTATCTTTGAAGTTATATGCGAGTTGCCCTACTGAAGGAATCATGTGAAGGTGCAAAGTAAAGCTTCAGCCAGTTCTCTTAGCGTATGGAGATGCATCCATCATCATGGTTGATTTCTGTATCCTAATTGTTAGCTAAACAATAGGGAAAAGGTGCTCAGACGAGCGGCTTTCCACAGCTAACTAGTCAAGGGAACTCTCATATCATATGGCACGAGTCATAGAACACCTGGATTACCTAATGAGAGAAATCTCCTCCCTCTAGGCATCAGTCCGAATCCATTTGGCGGTGATAGGATTGGGATGTGAAGTGGAAGCATGATGCTAGATTTGACCCTCTTTTAAATTTGCAGTTATTCCTGGTGCTTGTATGATTTTCTTAGCATTAAACTTTTCCTTTGGGTTGTATTATAGATATGCATGCAAAATGTTCTATCAAACTACAGCCATAAATGGCTGCAAGTAAAACCTCTCTAGGTCATTTTACAATGGTGTTGATGTGAGAATATTAGGTTTTATGTATATATGGTAGTATATATTTTTTTTGTATATTTTAGGGATTGAGTAATTATTCTAGTTTCCTTTTTAGTCTTTGGGTTAGATTGTTGTATAAATCGATGTACTCTTGTATTACAAACACAATTGAATATACAAATTCTTTTAGAAAATTTACATGGTTAGCTTGGTTTGAAACCCTAGTAGCCTCTTTCTGGTTCGGAACCCCACCCTCTCTAGAACACTCTTTGGTTTTGATCTTTGATCATTATCGAGTTCCTCGTTTGCTTCATCAAGTTTGTGCAACCCATAGAAGTTCAAATTGCGGCCCATCGTGAAGCCCGAATTGTGTTTGAAGGTTTGAAGTTGACCCATCTAGTTCGAAATTACAATCTCTGGTTCGTGTCTCCTCAGCTCAACATTGGTTTTCTAATCGCGAATTAGCTTCTCTAGTTCTCTGTTCACGGTCTTTGGTTGGTCGCCGGAATCATAATTCTTGTCGTTCGTAACCTTTGGTTGGCTCGTCGATTTGCGAGCTTTTTCTGTGGTTCTTTGGTCTTGTGGTCTCATCTTTCTCTAGGTCGACTTCTGTGCTTCCACTTCTGGGTTGTCTCTCTAGTTCTCTACAAGCATCGCGATCAAGCTGTATCTGGTTCTCCGGTTCCTTCAGCTTCTCTCTCTCTCTCAGTGCTCTTTGACTTCTTTGATCCGAGGCTGGTATCTTCTGGTTCATTACCTATTGATATTTGACTCGTGTTACTTACTTCTTGGTGTATTACGTTTTGTCCCATTCGATTTCTGTTTATTACACTTGAACCCTAGTTAGTTAATTTAGTCTATTTTGGGTTTATTACAGTTCAACCCCTCATCTTTTTATTTATTATAATGTCTTTAGCTTTTGATGAGTGTGCATTTTTCTGTTAGAAGGGCCATTCGAAGTACCATTGTCCCAAGAAGGGACGTTCATTTGCTCTGTAGTCTCAGCCACACTTCCGTGCGCCTACTCAGAGTATTTTTCAGACTCCAGCCGTTTATACTGCATTTGCTCTGTCTCCTAATCCTAACTTGGCTTTCTTAAGTGCTTAGATTAGTCAGTTTCAATATATACTGTCTATGTACCAGCCATCTTCGTCTCTCTCTGCTATTTCCTCTCTTCATTCAGGTTTGTTTGGGTCTTCTTCAGGTATCTCTTCGTCTGTCTGGCTCTTTGACTCTGGTGCCTCTCATCATATGACTTCTTATCTCTTTTTACTTCAAAATTGTACTTCCCCTCCCTTTCTTATTACTGTTAATACTGTTAATGGGTCTAGTATGTCTGTTGTACCTGTTGGGTTTGTGTTACCATTTGATATGTCTGCTATCACTATTGCATTTATCATTTATGTTCCTCAGTTATCTGTAAATTTAGTATCTATCAGTCAGCTTGATGCCTTCGATTTTGATGTTATCTTTTCTTCTTTTATCTATTCTGTGCAAGATCGGATGTCCAAGTAGCAGATTGAGACCGGTCGTAGAGTTGGAGACCTCTATGTGGTGGAAAGCTTGCGTCTGCCTATGACTACCTCTCCAGTTACTTTTTTCTCTTTTTAGTTAGATTCTTTGTGAAGCTGTAAGAAATAATGTATAGAGAAAGAGAGAGAATAAATTGTATGTATTATTATTGATTGATATATTGATGTTGTATTTATTACAATGATTCATGATTCCTATATATAGAAGAGGGTGAGTGTGTAGTAGGTAAGGAGTAGGTGAAGTGGAAGTGGTAGTGGTGTAGTGGGTTAGGTTTAGTGGAGTAGGTGAGGTGGTAGTGGTGTAGTGGGTTAGGTTTAGTGGAGTAGGTGAGGTGGTAGTGGTGGTAGGTGATGGTAAATTCTAACAGAAGCCTTTTTTTTATTTGTGGCATTATAGATTAGGGTACTTGTCTGCTGACCGCTTACAGTCTTTAGCTTAGTCAGGTTTATTAGGTAAAGTTTTTCCTAGTCAACTTACTAAGTGTTCGGAGTGTAAACTTGCCAAAATGATAGCCTTAACCTTTCGTAAAAATACTTTTATCTCTGATACACCGTTTTCTTTAGTTCATACTGATGTCTGGAATCCTTCTTATATTTTCACCAAATGGGTTCTGCTTACTACATTTGTTGATGACTGTACCCGTTACACTTGAGTTTATCTTAAGACTCGTAAGTCCGACTTCTATTAGATATATCATACTTTTCAGTCTATGATCATTACACAGTTTTGGTGTACTATTAAATTGTTACGATCTGACTTAGGTGGGAAATATTTTAAAATTGAGTTTTGTGAGTATTTGGCCAATTTGGGTACCATTCACCAAACTTTATGTACTGATACATCTGTCCAAAATGGTCGAGCTGAGCATAAACACTGTCATCTCCTTGAGACAGCTAGGTATCTTCTTCTCTTTGTATCTGTTTTGGCTTCGTTTTGGGGTGAGACAGTTTTTACTATTGTGTTTCTTCTCAACCGTATGCCTACTCAACTTTGCTCTGGTTGTTCTCCTTATGAGGTTCTGTTTTCTCCTATTCCCAATTACTCCATCCTTCATATTTTTGGATTTGCTTGTTTTGTTCTTCTTTTCCGTAAAGATGGGACCAAACTTAGTGTCTTTTTGGGCTACAGTCTTACTCAAAAAGGCCACCGCTATTACGATTCTGTTTCCCATCGTCTTTATGTCTTCCGCCATGTTGCCTTTCTTGAACGTCTATTTTATTTTCAACTTCCTCCTTTCACTGCCCAGGTTTCTAAAGAGGATTTGATTCACATCGATTTATTTCCTTATGAGGTCCCTTTTGATGAGTACGTCTCTACTGTTCCCCCTAGCATGTTTCCTCTTCTTTTCCTATCACCCCTTTTGTTGAGTCCCTCTTTACTGTCGCCCATGAGTCAGTTCCTTTTTCCCCTCCTCCTCCTCCTTCTGATCCTTCTCTTCCTCCGTTGTTAGTATATTCTCGTCGCAAGGCTCTCCCTCCACCGGTCGTCTCTGCCCTTACTGCTGATCCTCCTGCTTTTGATGACTCTGATCTTGCTAACCGTAAGTATACACTTCGCATCCGTAAATAAGTAGTTAAACTTGGTTTTGCAGAAACATGTTTTTTTCTTTCATACTGCACTTTTTTGTCAGTTATTCACTCTTTTTCAGAACATCAGTCTTATAAGGAGACATGTTAGAATCATAATTGGGTTCAAGCTATGGAGGATAAGTTGTTTGCATTGCAGAAGACTGCTACTTGGGAGCTGGTTCCATTGCCTGCTGGCAAGAATCTAGTTGCTTGCAAATGGGTTTATAAAGTCGAGACTCATTCTGATGGTTCTCACGAGCGCTACGAAGCTCACTTGGTTGCCAAAAGTTTCTCATAGTAGTATAGCATTGATTATGAGGACTTGCCCCTATTGCCAAGATGACTACTATCCGCACTTTGATTTCTGTTGCTGCTGTTCGTCATTGGCCTTTTTATCAGATGAATATTAAGAATGCTTTTCTTAATGGCCATCTCGCTGAGGAGGTCTATATGCATCCTCTTCCTGGTCTTCCTCATTCTTTTGGACAGGTGTGTCATCTTCGCCGTGCTCTATATGGTTTGAAACAGTCTTCCTGTGCTTGGTATGATTGTTTTTAGATAGCCGTTACTCAGCTTGGGTGTCATTCTTGTGCCTAGGATTCTGCTTTGTTTCTCCTCCACATCTCTGCTGGTTTTTTTACCCAGTTACTTTATGTGGATGATATGATTATCACGGACTCCGGCTCTTTTGCTATCTCTGAGGTTAAGCAACATCTATTTTGCACCTTCAAAATGAAAGATCTGGGCCCATTGTGATATTTTCTAAGTATTGAGGTTGCCTTTTCTCTCAAGGGTTATTTTCTGTCTCAGGCCAAATATGCAAATGAGGTTATTCACCGTGCCGGTCTTACTTACTAAGATTTCTGAGACTCCAACTGAGCTCAATGTGAAGCTTAACACTGTTGATGGTGTCCATCCGGATGATCCTACTTTATATCACGAGTTTATGGGTTGCTTAGCCTATCTGACAGTTTCTCGCTCTAATCTTGCCTATGATGTTCATGTGGGTAGCCAATTGGTTCCTACTTCTTGTTCTACACATTGGACTGCTTTGGTTCGAATTCTTCGCTATCTCCGGGGTATTATGTTTCAGGGCTTTCTGTTGTTTTCTACTTCCTCTTTGGACTTGATGGCTTATGTTCATTTTGATTGGGCTGGTGATGTTACTAATCGGAAGTTCACATCTGGTTTCTGTATATTTCTTGGTGGTTCCTTTATCTCTTGGAAAAACAAAAAACAAACTGCTGTTGTTCACTCTACTGCCGAAGTTGAGTATCGTGCTATGGCTTATGCTATTGCTGAGATTGGTTGACTTCACTGTCTCTTGTTTGATTTAGGTGTCCCTTAGTCTTCTCCAACCTCTCTCTATTGTGACAACTGCAGTGCTATTCAGATTGCTCATGACACTATCTTCCATAAGCGGATGCAGCACATTGAGATTGATTGTCACTTTGTTCGTCAGTATCTGCAGTTTGGCTCCATTTCCTTGCCTTTCGTCTCTTCAGCTTTGCAACTTACTGACTCCTTTACCAAGACTCACACTACTGTTCGGTTTCAATTTCTTCTTAGTAAACTGTTAGTGTTTTCTGTTAAAACATTTTTAGTTTGAGCGGGAGTGTGAGAATATTAGGTTGTATATATATGGTAGTAAATATTTTTTGTATATTTTAGGAATTGAGTAATTATTCTAGTTTCCTTTTCAGTCTTAAGGTTATATTGTTATATAAATCGATGTACTCTTGTATTACAAACACAATTGAATATACGAATTCCTTTAGAAAATTTACAGTTGATTTTTTTTTTTTGATAAATAAACAAAAAGAAAATTTACAGTTGATTCATGGCATGTGTGCTTAAAATTTTATCAAATAGCATTGTTGCTGTAAGCAGCAGTTTTGTCATTCATCATTGTTGTTACATTGCTTTGTAACTCTTGTTATATCTTGTTAGATGTTCAATTTCATTTCTGCACAATACTTTGTGGGAAAATTTAATTTATATTTGGTTGTTCCGGGCAACTAGTTACATTTTGGGAGATTTATTTGGTCACTCACTTACAAGCATATTAAGCATTTTTCTTGAAACCAATTGAGTCAAATTCTGATCACAACTCCCGAAAAACAGGCATTGTAGAGCCTTTTCATTACCATGACAAAGTACTGAGAGTTTTTTCATGTTTATGTATTTTATATACAATCCTATAGGTTCCTTGACATTTTAACTCATATTTGTTTTATGGTTGTACTTTTTTTTTTTTTTTTCCACTTTCTCTACTTCTGCTACACTTCTTTCTCTTTGTAAGCTCTTCTTTCAATATGTTGAATCAACCTGTCAACAGCATTCACGAAAATCAACTGTGGAAAGATTCAATTGGTTTTATTTTGACCATTGGTCTTGTTAGTGCACTGGATTTGTGGAAATTCTGTAAAATACAAATAATGGAATCAAAGATATTTGTGTTACTTGGTGAATTTGGCATAGTTTTTTTTTCCTCCTTAAAGCATCCTTTGTGAGCATTTTTTAGCTATGACTCGTCATTTTTTGCTATTTTATCTTTTTTATGTGCTCCTTCTTTTGTTACCACCTTTAAAAATGGACTTGAACTAGCATACGAACCATCTTACATTTTCCCAGAGAAAGTTATTTATGTGGTGTATGCAGATGATTGTGGTTAACATTTTCAGGTCTCTCGAACTTGACAACTTTGAGTTTTAGGAGAAACAATCAAATTACTGCTCAAGGGCTAAATGTCTTTGCTGGCTTAATTAACTTGTTAAAGTTGGATCTGGAAAGATGTCCAGGGATCCATGGTGGACTTGTTCATCTCAAAGGTTTGTTCTCCTTCAATGTAATCGGGTCTGAAAACTAAACTTCATTTTGCCATGCTTTTGGATAAAAATTCTGCTCTATTTTGTGTCAATATTTGAAACAGTATTAAACGTTTTCAAAGATACCTGGTAATTCTCAGCATCTTTGATTGGAATTCTGTTGGAAACCCAAATCACTTCACAAATTCAAATTAAGTTAGAATTTCATATATGACATGCTCATACATGATGAGAAAACTCTGTGAAGAATGGTGTTTAAGGCATTGGTAAAACATGTTTACTGTTGAGTGTTGACTGACTCAAACAAGCTCAGCTACTGCTGTTGTTTTTTTGCTTTCTTTGTTTCTCAAGAAAGAAAAAGAAATTCAGACGCAGTCCTCTAATGAGTGGTAATCAATGTGGAGACTTTTACTTACTCACTTCAGAATAATATTGAGGGTAACAATCAAAATACTCGGTCCCTTCTCCTTAAAAAAAGAAAAAAAAGAAAAAAAAAGATACTGTCTATTCCTTCATAGATTTATATTGAGAAAAAGTAATTGTATTATGTTGGGACGAGCAAAACCAGTAAGCATATATGACAAGAACTCCCTAGATGCAAACTTTAAAATGCTTAACAGGCCCAAATATTTCCACGTGAAGAAAGATGGAACAATTTTGAGACTAGATTCTATCGATCTAAGGTAGAAAATTGAGATGCTTGGTAGAGAAGCGTTTAGACTATGCAGGTATTGGATTGAACATATTGAGGCCTCGTTTGGGAATTGGCTGTTTTAGTGGCTTTTTGGCTTTTTTATGAGGTGGAAAAAGGTGGTCGTGTTTAGAAATGGCCTTCTTTAGTTGTATTGAAAACAGTGAATTACTGAGATAATTGATTTTTTTTTTTTCAGTGGCTTTTTGGCATTTTAGTGGCTTTTTCTCTACTTTAGCCAAAAAATCAAATCGCCAAACGGATAGAATTTTGGTAAAATGAGAAAGACAAGGAAGTTTGAATAGAGATTGTTGAGAGAGATCTAAATGAGGGAAAATTTTATAATGTTGTTCTAAAAATTATGGAAGCTGGTTAACATGAAGACCATTACCCAAATTCTGTTCCTAGTCAAATTGTGGTGCTAGTAAGGGTAAAATTTGATGCAGTCTTCTATCTGGTTTTACTTGCTTGAAGCGTCCACCCCCCTATTTCTGCCTACATTCCATGCTTGGCAATCCAAGTTTTCTGATTGTGCAAAGCAATGGCTGTGGGGATATTGAATGATGCAAGTAGTTGTTTGATGCCTTAGAGAAGGGCTGGTCTGTATGATGATACATGTGATGCTCGTATAATGTTATAAATAAGATGTTAAGTCTTATTATAATTTTATCCTGATAAGATTCTTACGTCTTTGTTGTGATTTCGCAGATAACTGGAATTTATTCCATTACTCTTAGTTTAATTGTGCCTCGTATTTTATTTTTTTGAGGAACTGCATGAACCACTTCTCTGTGATTATGGGTGTCATTTATTTTTCGGTCACTTGTGCATTCTACCATCTGCCATTGACTAGAGAAATGTAGAATGCACATGGGACTGTCAAGTTATACTACTTTTTACTGTTGTTGAATATGTAAGAAAAGATCAAATACCTGGTTTATGTATGGATTACTTCTGTTGTAGGGCTAGCGAAGCTTGAGTCTCTAAATATTAAATGTTGCAATTGCATAACAGATGCTGATATGAAACCTCTTTCAGGTAACTCTCTCTTTCTGCATTTCAGTTTTATGATTATATAAATTTAATGTTGATAAACTATATTTATTGATTTAGGGTACATGCATCTGTTTTCACCTGCATTTGCTAGAAGATTTTTTGTTACAGGATTCCCAAAGTCTTCAAATATTATGTAGAACATATGGAGAATGCTTTAAATCATTTTTAGATTTGCATTATTTAGAATTCATGGAGAATGCTTTCTACCCTTGTTCAAATAACTGGAATTGTTCAGGGGCCTGCTTGTTTGTGCTTGGGGGTGGGGTAGTTATAGAATTGACTCATGCGGTAGTAGTTTAATGAACTCCCTAAAAAATGTTTCTATTTACTCCTATATTTTCATAAGCAATGTGGTATAGAATGCACATTATCATGAGGTCATGTGAGCCATAATTATTTGCATGTGCTTTTATTGTGCAATCAGATGCCATAAAATTTTATATTTCATTATTTTTCAGGGCTTACCAACTTGAAAGAGCTACAAATTTCCTGCAGCAAGGTCTCAGATTACGGTATCAGTTTTCTGGGAGGTACTTATTTTGGCCTGAAGCTAATGTTTCGTTGTAGAAACTCAATTTATGTTGACAGTAGTTTAGTTTCTGGGACGTGGTCCATGCCCACATCAGATATGCAGTTTTGAGAGGCATTTTTATGTGTTTTGAAATTTCAATGCTTAATCAACACTACTCATTTTCCAAACTAGTTTGAAGAATTTTGTTAAATTTCTGGCGAACGACCCCCCCCCCCCTCTCCCTCTCTCTCTCTATATATATGCACATCAATTTGTCTGGTTCTCTATCTACCTATCTCTTTCCGTCTGTGTGCTTGTGAACTTATTTACTTCTACATTTCGTTATATGTCTAATCAAGTGTATTTAATGTGTTGGAGATGCTTTACAATCAGATATCAAGTTGGATGAGGTTAATAATAAGATTTGCATTATTTACTGTCATAGTGCAAGTACCACTTTCTCCGATGCATTCTCAAGGGTACCTGGTAGTGTCATTAAATTCTTCATACTAATTTTTTTTTTTTTTTTTTTTTTTTTTTTTTTTTTGTTGGGGGGGGGGTGTTAATGATAGGATGTTAGTCGGTTAGTAAGTTAGATTACAACAAAAGGGTCATAGTCACTCTATCAACTCGAACCTTAAACCTCTGACCTTCTCACTATCTCAAGGGACAACTACATGGACCACTGGGCCAACTTCGCTGTCCCATTAAATTCTTCTTACTTGCTTAAATGTATTTTCATTATATACTGGAAGCATAGTAATATAGATACGTCATCCTTGATTTTTTTCCTTAAATGGTTTGATAATGCTTCCCTTAGGAACTTGTCATGGCCAGCTTTGGTTTCATTGTCTTCTTGGTATGGCAAATTCCATAACTTTTCCATTGAAATATTTGGTGTTTGTGTGCATTGCAGGTTTGCACAAGCTCTCTCTATTGAACATGGAAGGTTGCCCTGCTGTTACTGCAGCATGCTTGGACTCTCTTGCAGGTTCACTTTTGCCTTTTCTTCTCCTTTGAGTCATTGCCATTGTAGTTATGTTATTGGATATTGTGATAAATATTGCATTTTGAGAGAAGGGTATGTGGGTATGGAACAAGAAATATTTCATGAGTAATATTTGTTTTATGGTCTAAACTTACGAAAATATCTTGACCAAGGTAACTCAAAGATATGATTATGGATTTGTAGGAGACTAGTAGTTTATTGCAAATCCAGGATTTCCATTTGAAAATTTAAACATTTTGTGGATCAAAGCACAATAAAAATATTTGGCAGTGTAATGCATCGGATTAATGAGAAAATGAAAAAAATTACTTTCTCTGGAATGTTTTCTATTTGGAAGCTGACTTCTGATTTTCAAAGGAGTTGATTGTTAATTTTTTGATTTTCTGCTTAAATTTTTTTGACTGGGCATGGTAAATGCTGGTGATGAATGAAGGATTTCTTGTGATATACTATGATTTATAATAGTATAAGTTATTCATGTTTGGTATTAATCTGATTGCCATTTGTTCTATGCATGCAGCTATTCCTGCCCTGCTATATTTGAACCTAAGCAGATGTAATTTGTCTGATGATGGGTGTGAAAAGTTTTCAGGTAGGTTACATGTAAACTTTTGTATCCCTTATGGTTTAAGAATAATGGACTGTCTTTTAAATTGAGATACGTACTACACTTTCTAATAGCACCAGGAAAACATTGAAAGCAACCTTAACAACAAAAAGTAACCTTTTTCATATCATGTTTTATGCAGGGCTACGGAATCTGAAAGTACTAAACTTGGGATTCAATGATATCTCAGATGCTTGTTTGGTACACATGAGAGGTGGTTTTTCCTTCTTATATTTATGCAAGTTCAATAACAGTATAAAAAATCAGGGCAAAAATTATAGAGTTCCCACTTCTGACGGAGATACCCAAGAGGGATAATAGATGGGTCTTGTGCAACAACTCACAGCTGTACTTGGGGAATGGGTATTCCTCTAGCTGTTGAATATACAATATGTAGAATTTTTTCCCCCTTGTTTCTCAAAATCCATTCTTGTGGGTTTGCCTTCCGATGTGATTATTTTTGGCAGGTCATTAAATCAAATTATCAAAAGCATAGTATGCAGAATTTATTTGGGGTTCACTGAAAATATTTTCTCATAGAGACTTCTCATTTCATGCAACAATGCATTATGTTTCTACACACCTGGTTTTTGCCATTGTTTGATATTGTGTTCATTACAAACGTATACAAGTCTTTACTTTTTGAGAAGTTTTTGTTATTTATATAGTTTTTCTTTTGCTTCAAGCAGGTTTAACGAATTTGGAGAGCTTAAACCTGGATTCATGTAGGATTGATGATGAAGGCCTGGTTAACTTGGCAGGTCATTGTTCACTAAGTTCCCTTTATTTAATTTTCTTATGTCCATGTTGCACTTTTAATAACAGTTCTGTTTTCAATCAATGGTCAGTAGAAGCTTATGCCTTCGAGTCGCACATGTATTGTGCATGAAGTTATAAAATTAGTGGGTGATTCTGGGTGGAAGATGCATTATACTTCTCTTTTTTTGTTAGTGGTTTTAAATATCATCTAGTTAAGCATGCTTATTTGCCTTTTATGATAAATATTTGACCTGTTCTGGATTGTATCAAGATATCAAGGAAAAGATGTTTCAAAAGATCTAGGGCAAACTGCAGAACCATAGGTTGGTGCATATGAGACTTCTGTTTCCGGCTGCTCCGGAGCTTAAATTTATCACCAATAATGCAACCTGTGCCAAAAATACTGTCAACCCTGAAAAGTCTTGTCTTATTCATGTTTTGAAATTTTAAACTAGAGCTAATGCAACAAGATATGTCCAGTTTAGGTGCTAGGTAAAATGTATTGAGATCAATTTAATTCTGTAGAACTTACACTCCTATTATTGCAGCATTGATGATTGATTGATGAATCAGACAACTGCTATGGATATTGCAAAATCAAGAAGAAAAAAAAAAGAAGGAAAATTAGTTTCTTTAAATTAGTCTTGTGACGAGTAGACAGGGTTGAATGAGTGTGATTGTCTTGATTTGAGGAAATTTATAGGTCAGTCGACCAGTAATACCATTGTGGCTCAAGTGTATATCCTCCTGGTGCAATGAAAATTGTGCTTGACATGCATATCATTTATTTATTTATTTGCATCAGAAACATGGTTAGGTTTGATGTAGCAAGAAAACTTATTGTTAATTATTTATGAAAAGCTTTGTAATGCTCATAACATCAAAAGCAATTAAAACCAACCCTAATCCTTGTCCCCCCTTAAAAATGGGAAAGGTTGTTTTTCATACTTGTGGACTTAATTTTTTAATTCTAGTTTCTTGTTGCTCTCTCTCTCTCTCTCTCCCCCCCCTTACAGTAAAATCGGTCATATGCATTTCTACGATAGATGCTCATTTCTTATATGCTTACGGTTTGACATCTGAAGCTCAGGCCTTCAGCATTTGAGATGTTTGGAGTTGTCTGATACAGCAGTTGGAAGCAATGGCCTCCGGCATCTTTCTGGTTAGATTTTGCCTTCTACATACAGTATGCAGGTTACGAATAATTAAAAAATAAATTTAAAAAAAAAAAGAAAGAAAAAGAAAAAGAATTTTTTTTTTGAATTGCTGGTAATTGGATTTTACTTTATTCAGCCACTTTGACAATAGATTAGTTGGTTCTTCTGCATAAGATTTGTACTCATTTTTAAAATTTCATCAGCCATCTTTTTCCAAATCCGCTATATGTGTGCTTATACTGTCGTATACCTGGAATTAAGTTTTTTATGCATTCGTGCATTATGTTGATCCCTTAAGCCTGCTAAGATTTGGGGTGTTGATGAGTGTCTAGGCAGGGAAAGTAATAATGTTTGTGTATGACTGAGAATTGTTAGAATAGATTCGTGGTAAGTTCATTAATTGCACATACCTTTAGTGAGGACAGGAAAAAGTATTGCTTGTTTTTCAAATAAATCAAATCTTTATTTTGGCCAACTCAGAAGATGACTGCTAGAATGTGCCAAGGGGACACAACCCTTGCACAACCAAAAAAAAAAGAAGAAGAATAAAAGAAAAAATGCAAAGAACAAAGTAGGTAAATCAACCCAAATCCCAGTTACAAGCCACTAAACATTCACAACCAGAAGATAAAAATAAAGAAGCACCAGATTTGCGAAGGAGGCTTTCTCATCATCAGTCATTGATTTCCTTTTTAAACTCCCGCCTTTCCATTCTTCTATACTTACTTGGGGATGAGACGAAGTGTTTATGTAATTTCTTACTTTGTGAATGGATATTTAAATTAGGTTCATATAGCACAGGCCTAATTAACAGTAGAAAAGAAAAAACCAATTGAGGCTAGGATGATGTTCATCTCCTCTTTTGGTTAGATGGTATGCATTCAGCTGCAGGCACTTGTGGTTTTGGCTTTTTGAAGTCTATTAGCATAGTTCTAATAATCATTCACCCTCCCAAATCTTGGGTTGCTTTAGACAGAATAAAGTTGTTCAGTTAATTATCTCGTGTCTTTTTTAATTTGTATTAACCATCATTTTTATTGGTCTCTTTCTTAGGTTTGACTAATCTGGAGAGTATAAATCTCTCCTTCACTGATGTCACTGATGGTGGCTTAAGAAAGTTGTCTGGATTGTCATCACTTAAGTCACTAAATTTGGATGCCCGCCAAATTACAGATGCTGGACTTTCTGCTCTTACGAGTAAGTGTGTTTGAGGTGATGTTGCCTTTGGTGCATGTTTTCTAAATCCGTCGTTTATTGTTTGATCAATTGGGTAGGTTACTCTTCAGATGTGCCTTTTTATTGTTGGATGTGACGCTTTTATATTTTCTTGTCCTTCGTGACAGGGTTTTCATGTTTACATGGCTGCGATATTTGCATCTGCATTTATTGGTGTTGGCCCATGTTGCTTGAACTTTTGTGAGGTGTTAAGTCTTTTTGTTGATGTTGAACTCCCATGTTTGCACAAATAGAGTTTTGTGAATATCGCAGCCAGTTTAGCAAAAATCCTTACAATTTCCAATTCATATCAATCCTTTTTGTCTGGTGACATTCTATGTGTCTATGGTTTTCTTTACTTTTCAGTTTAGTAACCATTATTTCCTTTAGTATTGTAAGCTTCTGAGCCAAGCATAATTCTGAGTTAAACCCCTCTCTCTCTCTGAGTTCAAATTAGTATTCATTTGTCACTTTTGGATGTGTTTAGCCCAGTCTAATTGTGGCACTCCTAATATGATGCAGTAGTTTCACATGGACAATATTTATATCGCAATTTTCTTTTTTCTTTTTTTTTCCCTTCTTTTCTTTCTTCTCCATTGTCAGTTTTTAGTTCTGATCTGCTAGACGCATCTCTCTCTCTCTCACCATAACATGAAAGTATTACATTCTTTACTTGTGCTATGCAGGCTTGACTGGGTTGACTCATTTGGATCTTTTTGGAGCGCGCATCACAGATTCTGGAACAAACTATCTGCGAAGTACGTTTTGTTTTACTACTGATACTCATATAGTAGTGCCTTGTATTTCTTACAGTAAAATCGGTCATATGCGTCACCAAATGCTTGACTCACCTTTTGTTTATTTATTTTTTTGTTTTTTCGGTGGGGAATAAAACATCTTGCTTTTTGAAGCATGTGGTATGTGGTTGCAAGCTTCAACCATTGGAATGTAAAATGCTATTGAGCAGTTATCAATATTTCTACTAATATGCATAATACTGAAATCTCTCCCCCTCCCTTTTTTTTCTTTGGATTGGTGGATTGGTCAAGTTTTGAGACTTCTAATTTCCCTTTGTTTATGCATTCTGATTAAGTTCTACAAGTTTTCACATCCCACTCTCCAGGATAATACTACTATAAGAAGAAGAAAGAAAAAATGATATATGTGTGCACCTAAGATGAATGAATACTTCTAAGGTGGCATGGCGTGTTGACACAACACCACACGTGTCAGACATTTCTTAACACCTGTCAGCAGAAGATGACTGCTAGAATCAACATGTCCTACTATTTTTTATTTTATTTTTTAAATTTCTAGACTAGTACATGCTTCAGACGTGTGTGGGTTACACGTCTATCGCTCAAACACACATAAAACATATCACAAGTTTGAATAAAATAACTTAAAAGCTAATGATTGCACATGTCTATCGCTCAAATACACATGATACATATCAGAAGATTGAATAAAATAACTTAAAAGCTAATGATTAAAAAAAATGTAAATTTAAAATATTCTCCACCTTTAGATTTAAAAAATTATTATATTTGAATTAAATTCTCATATATATATATGACATATAATAATTGTTTATCCTTGTATGTGTTGTATAATAAATATATAAAACTGTAAGTTTTGCGTGTGTGCCCCACGTGGCGTGTACTACATATTTTGAAAATTTTATTGTCAGTGTGTGTACGTGTCATGTCATGTGTCTGTCTGTTCTTAGTTGTGCACTTACTGTGAAGTAATTTGGACTGGGTTTTGGTTATCATTATGTGTTTCGTATCAATGTGTTCCTTGCTTGTGTATTGATTCAGATTTCAAGAACCTAAGGTCCCTGGAAATATGTGGCGGAGGATTAACTGATGCTGGTGTGAAGAATATCAAGGATCTTTCATCCTTGACAGTGCTAAATCTTTCACAAAATGGCAACCTGACTGATAAATCGTTGGAAATGATTTCTGGTATCCTTTCTTAAACTTGGCTTTGTGTTCTTATTAAGAGTATCTGTCCTTTCTTTATAGCTTATGGAGACTCATAAAAGTATCACTTGAATCTCTCTCTCCCTTGTGAGGTCATAAGTTAATTTTTTTTTCTCCCACTTGGGCTATGTATGACATTGGGAGAAAACCACTAATACCAAATCATGACGACCAATACATCTCTGTAATGGAAATATGACCTTCCATAGTTATAGTACTAGCAATTATACCAACATAACGGATGCCATAAAGGATTAGTGATAATCATGAGAATAACATGTAAAAGTGATCACCATGTCTATTCTCAAAATTGGTCCAACTGTAATGTTCCTTCAACCAGAACATTTATACCTGCTCCATTTAACCTTTATGAGGCTAACTCCTGACATACAAATCAAAACATATACAAACAATAATATTATGGCAGTCAACAAGCAAGATGCAACCAACGAAGTACTTCGTGTAACTCATGGTCACTAGTGTTACACGATCTTGGGTAGAACTCAATCCCAAAAGATAGTTTGTGAGGTGAGGGGCATGTGGGCCTTCGCTTCGCTACAAGAACATCATTAACCAATCATCCAAAACTTTTCAGTTATCCCCATATTAGATATGTGTTTCTCAAACACGAAGGAATAATCATTTGGTTAATGGAAGATACCTGGTCCTCTAAGAGTAAATAGTACTTTTGTTATTTTGAGTGAATGAAATGGGAAATAAAATTATCACAAAAAATCTTCATAGGCTTGGAAATGGAATCAACAATCCTAAGTCCAAAGAGCAAATTTTGAAACCATTAAGCTTGAACAATAACTTCATAATTTGCCACAAACTGTGTCTGCATTGTGGATGAAACAATGAAGTAATTTGTTTCACACTTCTACACAAAATTGCTCGAAAGACTCAAAGCACCCTTTCTATGGTTAATAGTGATCTTCAATCCAGAAAATTGTTCAGTCTAATTTGCTGCCATGCATTGAAGTATGCAAATATGTTGTATGACCACAGATGGGTAACTGCTGGTTCTGTGAGGTTTCATGGCAGTAATGCCCTCCAGTTCTTGCATAGATGTAAGGGAATAGTTTCTTGTTCCCTGGTTCTGGATGAGAGTTCAGTGAAACAATTGTCTGCTCAATTTTGGGAGGAACCAAACCAAACTACAGTGGAGGTACTAGGTGACCCCGTGTCCCTAATTATGGTGTGAGACTTCTTTAAAACTTCAATTGGTAGAAGATTTAGGATGCTGTTGTCCTTGTTCTTTTTTCTTTTGTATGGATAAATAATTTACAATAATTTCTCAAATCTGATAATTCAGCCTTCTGCATTTTCCCCTTATATCCTCTCACACATTTTGGCATGTAAATGCAGGGTTGAGGCAATTGATTTCTTTGAACGTTTCCAACTCTCGTATAACGAGTGCAGGGTTGAAGCATCTCAGGCCACTGAAGAATTTGAAATCACTAACCTTGGAGTCTTGCAAGGTGACTGTGAACGACATCAAGAGGCTTCAGATGATTGACCTCCCAAATCTGGTAAGCTTTCGTCCTGAATAATTTCTTTGGTGGGGAGGGGGGTGGTTTGTTTGTGTAAGATATTCTGTAAATGTCTAGCCTGAAAAGAAGAGCTAAAGCAAGAAGCCGTTAGCTGAATTGTATATAACGGTTGACTTGAAGATTGGCTTTAATTATAGTTTTCCGATTGGAGGCAGAAAGTTCTCTATGCTGCATGTGAAACTTTCTTTTGTATAGGGCACTGAATATGAAAGAAAATGTAGATAAAAGCTACCTTGGTATGGTTTCCAATTTCACTTCCTAGGAGTTGTACATATTATTGGAAAATTATTTATACATGTTGGGATAGAACTTGGATGATATCTAAACTGTTTGCTATGATTCTCCCACCTTAAAAGCTCTTCAGCCATTGAAATGAAATTTAGGCTTCTATCTTTTATATTGATGCATGAATGTTGTGTCATCTCTGTTCATATTTTAGATTCTAAAATTCTTTGCTATACGTGACTGGTAAAGCATCTGATGTTGAGCTCTAGGAAGGCTTGTAATTTAGAACTGGTTGGTTGTGTTTTTCGTTATCTTTATTTCCGGAAACAAAAACAGTGAACAGTTTAAAAATACATGTCATTTTCGTATTGGTTTTTCAGTTTTTTGTTTTGGAAACCAGTTGCCAGAAATAGTTCTCCTTTGTTTACTTGTTTCCGAGTTACAAACTTGTAAGGCTGCTCCCCAAGTTAGGGGTGGGCATTGTCTTGCCCAGCCCAGTTCTACTTTTTCAAGGCTTGGGCTGGGTTAATATTTTAGGCCCAATTGTTGAGTTGGACTTAGGAATCAAGTTTGTAGCGTGGCCAGTCCAGTCTGAGAATAATATATTTATGTTATTTTGTTATTATTTATTTATGTAATATAAAAATAAAACAAAACAACGCCTAAATAATATACATTAATGTGTGTTTGGGAGGAGAAAGATTGGGTACATACTTATCCTTAAACATAGTGTATAAAGTGGTTGTTTCGTGACTTGAACTCATAATTTCAAAAGTTATTATTTATGTAATATATTAAAAAATAATTGAATCTTTTTCAAAGTTGAATTTTAGTTTCAATTCTGTAGTACAATTTCAATTCTTCACTAAACTGTTACTGTTACTGTTACTAATGAAAACAGATGACAGTTTATTTTTATTGTTTGATGGAGTATTTGGACTTTGGATGTATTTTGGAATGTAGGATTGATTGATTTTTAATGCTTTAGAATTAGAAACTAGTTTTTATTTTTTTTAATTATTTAAAAAAAATATATATATAGGCTCAATAGGTAGACTTGGAAATTATATGGACAGACACAATTATTAGTTTGTTCATGAATATTTGGAGCACTCATGCCAATGTTAATTCAATCAAAAAAATCAAGATTTAAGGCTACAAATTCTTGCATGGTTAAAGGTAAGTCAAAGGTCCAAAGGACATGTTACTTCAATGAAGACAATGAAAAATCATTTCATTTGGTGCATTGCGTGATTCTACTATGTTTTCCACTTTACTGGGTGGATAGTAGACCCGAAGAGAACTTCGCTTTTGCCCGGCTCGCCTGGTGGATAGTAGACCCGAAGAGAACTTCGATTTTGCCCCACTAGCAGGCGAGCGACATGTTTATCTTGTGTTCGATTTACCCAGCTAGCAGGAACAATACAGATGTTTTAAGGCTCCTTCAAATGAAATTCAATGGGATCCAAAGGAGATTCTATAGGATTCCCAGTGCTTGGATCAATCAAAAGTTCTATTTTATTTGAACTACACATTTTCATTGACACAAACAAATAAATTTTCCTTTTGTCAGTATTCTCTTCTGATGAAGAAGAAATTTTATACGAAATTTTTAGTGATGAAGAAAGTTCAGATGAAGAACTAATCTTCATGATGACTAATATTAATAGTTAAAAACTATCTCAAGAAGCAGATAGTGTATCTCATTAAGAATTACAAGTCATTCGATTTGGAGATATAATCGGAGAAGAAAAAACTTTTACCAACGAAGAATTATCAAAATTTTAAAAAATGCAAGAAGTTGCTACTTCAGAAATTTATAAACTTTCAAAATTTAATTTCTTTCCAGCAAGAGTGTTTGAACAATACAGTCGCAACACTCAAGTAAAATGGTCAGAAGAAGGAAATATTGATATTCTTTTTTTTTTTTTTTTAACATAAGAAAATATTTTTTACAAAAAATATTTTTAGTGAAAATAAGTTAAACCAAAACAAAATAGAATTAACTAAATATTGATAAAAGAATTAACTAAAAACTTTTAAAAATAGTTTCACAAAAAAACAAACAAAATAATAATAATAATAATAATATACAAAATATACCAAAGCAATGTTGAATCCGACACTAGTTTTTGGAATGCTCCAAAACTATAACAAAATCTAGGATTTTTTTCTTGCAAGCCAAGACCTTTCCTGCAAGGAAAGCAAGATGACCACTAAGATAGTTTCCATTCAATAAAATACTTTGTCAATATTCGAGCAAGTTTTTCCATTCCATAAAATACTGTCCGCCAAATTTGAAGTTATGTTTGGATTTTAAATTTATGAAAGAAAAAAGAAAAGAAAAGAAAGTGAAGTGTGAAAAAAAAAATCAATTTCTATAAGCAAATCAAATAGTTTAAGCTCGACTTGTGTGTAGTTCGTTAAAAGCTTATTCGAAATCAGTTCATTAAGTAATCAAGGCAAACTTAAATATATTTTAAAGCTCATTAACATTTTCAAACCAAGCTTGAATACAAAAATTCTCGTTTGGTTTGGTTCGATAAATCTAAAACTCTATAAAAATACCAAACTAGCTTTAAAATTTGCAAACCAAACTTAAACACTTAATTTCTCATTCAGATTGGTTTAATAAGCTTAAAATTATAAAAAATACCAAACCAAGTTTAAAATTTTCAAACAAAGTCTGAATGCTTAATTACTCGTTCGGCTTAATTCGATAAGCCTAAAACTATATAAAAATACCAAACTACTTAAACTTGGCTTAATAAAAGTTGGTTTAAAATCAACTCAAAAGTTTAACAAATTAAATTTAAACAAATTTTAAAATTTATTAAAATTATCAAATTAAATTTGAATAGTCAATTATTCCACTCATTTATCACCGTTACTTTTCTCTTCCCCAATATTCAAACAGAACTAAAAATTTACAGAAAAGAATCATTGACCGGAGGTTCCATAGAGGGATTAGGATTATGCAATAATTTTTGTAGTGAGCTGCTGCACGAGCACGAACCAACACGAGCCTGTCGTCGGCAGAACCAGCACCAGCCCGCCGTCGTCCTCCGCCATCGTCCTCGTCCTCCTTCTCTCTTCCTCTTCTTTTCTTCCTCTTCTCTCTTCCCTCTTCCTCTTTTCTCCTTCTCTCTCTCTTCTCTCTCTCTCTCTCTGTATTCAAATGCCAGAAAAAAAAAATTCGACCCAAAATCAGGCCACAGACTTTCGAGCTACCACCTATTTTTCATAATTTTATTTCTACACATCAATTCCGCTCAGTTCACACTTTAATAAAAAAAAATTTCAATACAATTTTGTCTTATAATAAAAATATCATAATATACATATTTTCTTCCATCCAACCCTAATTTTAAAACACCACAACCATCCTCCATTGCTAGCACCACCTCTCCTCCGCCATCTTCTCTCATCACCTCTTTCCCCCCTTTGCCTATGACCACTTTCCCCGATGAACCACCTGCCGCGAATCACTACTTTCTAGATTGATTGTGAAAATCTAAGATGGACTTGAAAATTTAGGATAGAAGGGGATAAGCTGAGGGTGGCAGTGGAGGTGGCAAAAGAGGGCTAAGAGTGGCGTTGAATGGTGAATGGGTGGCTGAAAGAAAAATTAGGGACTTGAAATTGAAAATGAGAACATTATTGAAATAAAGAGACGTGTACTGAAAAAAAAAATTTTAAAACTTTTTTTGTCTATTGAGAATGTGTTCATTAAATGAAAAAAATTAGTGTGTGAAAATAAAATTACTTATTGGGTGGTTTAAGAACCATCTTAAATCACCATTGGAAGATATTGCACCAAAAATTATTGCAGAGAGAGACATTACAATAAGGGGGAAAAATAGAATGAACTACTTTGTTTGTTTGGTCTGCTAGAGCTCTGAGTTGAGGACAGTCCCCGTATAAGGATCCTCTCCTTGCAAGTTCCTACTTGCGCCCGTCCTTGCAGGGCCTTCGGGCCTATTTTTAGGCCCAATTTTGATAATCCGAACCGTTCATATTTTATGATTTATTCAGTATATCATACTTATAAAAAATCAAGTTGATCGTATATCAGAAAGCATATGTTCGGAAAACTGTTTATTAAATTCTTTAAAAAAATAGTTTTTAGTTCAATTTTTCAAACACATACTTTCTGATATCCGATCAACTTGATTTTTTATAGATATGATATACTGAATAAATCATAAAATATGAACGGTTCGGATTATCAAAATTGGGCCTAAAAATAGGCCCGAAGGCCCTGCAAGGACGGGCGCAAGTAGGAACTTGCAAGGAGAGGATCCTGATACAGTGGAATGATGGTGTTATTTATGGCAGCAGTGACAGATGAAAAGTTGTAGGAATTATTGTGGTGGTGGTTACCAATATGCATAGTGTGGTTTGGTGTATAAGAATAAAATAAAAATTGCGTAGCGAGTTGACAAATTTGTCATTAGAAATCACTATTTTTTCTTTAAAAATTGGCGGATTAAAAAGAGCTTGATTCAAATTACAAAATTAGAGAGAAAAAAGAAAACAGTTTCCTAGAAGAAATTCCTTTCTTGGGCTACAAAAGATAAACTGTTAATACTCCTACAGTCTACAACATTTAGCTTACATAGTAGTATCTGATCAAGATGTTAAATCTACATGTCTTTCATCCCAACCATCAAGTAAATTACATATTTTCAACTCCCAACTGCACAAAGAAAAAACAAAAACAAAGCAACAAAAATATGTCAAGGTGGGCCAGTGGACCAGGCAGGTGTATTAGAGATGTCATAACAAGTAATGCTAAGAACACAAAATGAATCACTAAAAATGCAAAGATAGGCTAAGATTTATATTCTAAATATGTAATTGGACTTAATCTCAGCCATCCAATGCATTTTCTATGAATCATTCTGTGATCCTAGCCTTGCTTTTTGCCAAACCTCAACACCATACTCGAACAACCCAACCTTGGTGACAAACCAAATATGTTTAGGGCTCAGTTGATGGTACAACTGGTTGGATCGGTATGTCCAATTTCCTTTTCTTCTCTTAGATTGCATTTGGATTTATGAATTTGAACTGAAAGGATTTGGGCAGGAGAATAACTCATGATTTGAATCTAATCCAATTTCCTTTTCTAAATTAGATATGAATTTTAA